TATTTTTCACTGAACTGGGTTGAAATTTGTACCAAACATCCACGAAACCCTAAGGATAGTTTACAATATGTATTCATGTTAACAGTTGTTGCCAGATGTTTTACAGTAATCTTTTTTTCACTTGAATGACCAATATTCAAATTTCAAAAATGACTATATCCAATAGTTTTTATTTTCTTGCAGCCAAATTTTTATTCTATATAGTATTCATATAGTTCTACAACATTTAGAAGATATTTGAGCCTGCATAAAAATAATAAGTGCCACAGATCTTGCCAAAATTTGCCTCCAAGAACACTGTGATCATCTGCTGCTGGTTTACTGGAGGTTCCCAGTAACAGACGGAAAAAGATCAGGGATGCAGCCTTTGTCAGTTAAAAGCTATGGAACACACTACCTATAGAAATCAGGGAAGCTAGCTCGCTAAATATTTTTAAAAGAAAGATAAAAACATGTCGGCTCACTTTAGCCTTCATCTAGCTCGTGATACAGGTCTGAAACTCATTCTGCAACTCTTTTAAAATCTTACTTGAACTGATGATGCAACATCTCAAACTTGAGAAAATAACACTGACATTAAATGCCTCTTCTGATATATTTATGAGAATTTAGAATCCATTCTTGGAATTTGGGCTGCAACAATTAGTCGACTAATCGACTATTTAAATAATCGGTGACTATTTTAGTAGTCGACTAATCGGTTGGAGTCATATTTTATAGAAAAGTACTATAAAAGTACCCCATAATACTCTTATTGCAGCTTCTTACATTCATATACTGGCAACTTTACACACTCTCCCATGACGGTGAACTAAAACCCTTTGGTGTGAGTACGGAACAAGACATTAGATGACATAGATTTTGGGGTTTGAGAGAGACAGACCGATATTTAACAACATTTTAACACATTTTTCAATAAAATGATTAGTCGACTAATCGAAGAAATAATCGACAGATTAGTCGACAATGAAAATAATCGTTAGTTGCAGCCCTACTTGGAATACATAAAAGCCAGACTCTAAACCCCCACTTTCTTGATAACTCCTTGTGAACTCCTCGTGTTGTTTATTTATTTATTACATCTTGTAGCCTATCACAATAGGATGGACCCTGATTAGCCCTTCATCCTCTGCCTGCAACTGCCTGTTCTTTTGAAGCTTCTGTGCATGTTTAGTTACCTGTAGATATGTGCACATGTGCATATGTATACCCCTTGTTTTCCTTTCTTTTTCATAATGCTGTAAAGCAGTTTATATGTTGTTTAAAAACTAATAAAAATGTTAAAAATGCTTGCTTGATTTTATGATTTATAGTTGAACAATTCCATGATTCTATGATGATTTCTGTTTATGTTCATTCTGTCTATTTTCATGTGAAGCACTCAGGGATTATACTGCCTTTACTGTAAAGCAATTTGAGCTGCATTTCTTGTATGAAAGGTGCTATATAAATAAAGTTTGTTATTATTATTATTATTTTTTTTAAATATGGCTTAAGACTTAAAAAAACACTTTTTAATATATTTTTGACTGATTTTTTTTGAAGGATTATTTTAATTTCTTTGGGACTTTTTTATTACAGATAAATATAAAAATATGTTATAAATAAATATGTTATTTTACTCCAATATTTCTTTTTTAGTAGCTACATTTTCATACTTTTTACTGCAATGCATGCATCGTTACATTAAGTAGTTTTATTTCATGGATAGATGTTTATACTATGCTGATTTAAGAGTTTTATATCTGTTAAATAACTACTGAGCTTGTTTTTATATTGGGCTCAGGAAGTGTGCAAGTTACAGCTTTTAATGGCTTGGCTTGTTTTATACTGGGTGATAATATGGACTACAAGATTATTAAAATAACAGAGCCCATTTCAAATTTGCTGATTTATATAAAATATTTTTTCTGTTTAAACATTGTGCCCTTTTAAAATACAGTATGTTTGTATCCTTAAATGTCTGACATCATGTATTATGTCTAAGTAGACAGTATGGAGGTGTAACATGTCATAATAGTGAGCTTACTTACATAACTTATGCTGAATGAATGGTTAGCATGTTAGCAAGCTACAACTAGCTAATAAAGGTGCCTCTCATGTTAACTTATTACGGACTCATTTGAACATTTATCCGGCCGAAGAGTGACATTTCGTGGATTATTAACACCCTGCTGCACCCTAAATGACACCCACTTCATCAACGGCTGTGAAACAACTCTTGAGCTCGAGCTAACAAACCGGATGTGATGATAAAGCTTTAGTTTACCTGCAGCAGAGCTCCTCCGGTCCGACACAGCGTGCGAAACATCCTTTACTGTAAATTTAGTCCAGCAGTAGTGTGGAGAAGGTTCAGTTTTGTAAAGTGGAGTCTACACAGACTCTGTAGTCATGTGTGTGACCCCTTACCGATCAGGAAATGAAAGTTACATCAGTGGTGCAACGGTAAAAGCTTCCGACGGTGCGGGATGCGAGAACTGAGCGGCTAATGGTTCCGCTAGCTATATAATGTTATATACAGGTATTACTATCACTGTTTAGTCGTATAAGGTAATTTATTTCACGTTATGAGGTCACTGTTTTGTTTCCCAGTACAGTACCGCAAAGATACCCCGTATTTACAAAACTGAATTATTAATAAAGTATATTTTATTTCTCCTTTCCCCCAAAGTGGCCCTGCAGTGTTACTTGTTCCCATAGTTTCTTCTTCTGTGCTTACATTTAAGGTTTAAGTAGCAGTAGGAACAATTAAGCGTCTTATTGGCTAGAAATTAACGTTTCACATTTGCTAATTAATGATCAATTGTATAGCCTTTAAAAAATACTCTGTATTTTTAAGGACTTTCATGCATTTTTCTTCTCCACTCTCCACTACTGTATTTGTCCAAAGAGTATCTTGATATTCTGCACTTAAATCACTTTGAAATACCTACTTTTATTTAAGTATGTTATGTCTCCAGTCCCTGTTTTATGATTCAATAATACAAGTACTTCAAGTACTTCAGGACCCAATGCAATGACTTACCAAATACACAGGGGGGTGCTGTTGGCTTTGTCTTCACACTGCTACAGTTGTGTGTTGCAGGCCATACTCAGATTTACAATTTAACTAAATAACTTTGGCTATTTCAAGTCGCTAAAATATATGGAAATAAAGTGAATTGTAACCTAATGTTAAAAACTGTATACATCTGTATCTAGGGCCTTGCTCTTTTAAAATATCTTGCCTTGCTCTCCTGTGCTCCTTTTTTATATACCTGATTGTTTCTCCTTTTTTGTTGTCTTTTTTGTTTGAGTTTGTGCTGCAGCATGACTTTGACCATCACTGTTAAGTTCTTTTATCCTTGAACTTGTATTCCCCGACTTGTTCTGTACATTCTTCTTGTGATAAATAAAGAGAAAAAAGAATTTTTTGGGGGATTCATTGGTTTATGTCATGACTTTTAAACAGGCGACTTTGAATGAGGCACATATTTTTATTTTAATTTAATTTAATTTAATTTAATTTAATTTAATTTAATTCATTTTATTTTATTTTATTATTTTATTTTATGTTAACTGGCTCTTTTTGTGAACGTCTTTGTGATGAAGGGATAAACTTGACTTGACACTTAAAAAGAAGTGTAATAGTGTGCAGCCACACTAAGCAACTTAACTTAGACACAGAAAAGGTTACAGTAGTGCGACAGATAATATACTGGAATAAGACAAACTATGTGGGAATAATGCACTGACAACATACATTTGAGAGTAAAAATAGCCATAAAATGAGAAATAAAAGAGATCTGAGAAATTAACAAATTAATGCTCTTGTGTGTTTCAAATAGGAAAAGTCAAAGGCAGTACACTTGTAATTTTCACTCTGTGTTAATTTGACTAAAAAAGCAAACTATAAAAGCATATAGAAGACTAATTATGAAGCTACAAGGGTAAAATGTAAATATAAAACAATACAGCTGTCTTTAAAAAAAGTCATAAAACAGCTAAAATAATCACTCTTATAAAGAGCTACATTTTTTTAATCATTCTTTATTCAAGTAACACACTGTAAAAATGACTCAGTATACAGTTGAGAGTATACAAACACAACAATAACAGAGAGCCAAAGATATTATAAGACATACAGATGCAAAGTGTCTCAGTAGTCTGTTTGTTGGTCGAATCAAAAAGCAGTTTCATGTAGTGTTCAACATCCTTCAGAGAAACACCAATATAAGGTTTATTATTGCTAAACTTACATTTACGGAAAATACTTCGCCAGATTCATTACCCAGTTAATTATTTAAAAAAAGTAAAGTCAGTAGAGTTATGGTTCATGATAAATCTGCAAAAGTCTTTCCAGAATGTCTTGGTGTGAGAATAATGCGAGTAGTTTTTATTGAACACCATTCAAGTACAAACTTTAAGGCATATTTCAATACTTGAAGAATTAACTGTGTCGATACAGTTGTTTACAATACAATATACATAACACAAATCAAAACACAATCTTCAAATACAGAGTTCTTACATTAACATTTCTTTTCTCCTTTATAATTACAACAGCTTTAATCAACATCACTTTTAAAGGGTGTATCAATATATCCAAAATTCCTGTACAGGCTCAGACTGGAAGAAAATCTCAATTTCAAATATTAAATGTCACTTTTTGGGCTTTTGGTAGGACTGGATAGGATAAATATTGTTTCCTTAATTTCTTCACTGTATTGTTATTAAAAAATATTTTATTTTCAGCTGGTTTGGATAATAACAGCTTCCAATAAAGGAGAATTTACTGGTGGAAATCTGATAGTTTTACACGCAGAGAGAGCAGTTTGTGTTAATGTCTTTTTTATATTTCTGCATATTTATGAATCATTTGAAGGACACCTGCTTAATATTAATCACAGTTAAGTATTTAAAAGGAAACATGCATTAACTCTTCAATATAAGTCATTTCCAAACTGATTTGCATAGCTACAGGTGTTTTATCTGCTCTGAATCTGTGTGCGTCACCTGTTTCCTCCTCTAACCTGTTCCCCTCTGCTATTGGTCACATGTATTTTAACAAGCCCCGCCCCCCAGCATAGTCCTGCCTTCTCATTGGCGGCCTCAGACGCCAGTAACAGGTGCCTCGGCCCCGCCCTCCTCTCCTCTCTCAGTGCCCTCAGGTTGTTCTTCAGTCTGAAAACCTGCGATGAGAGTTTTAATAATGGCGAGGCCGTGGCGGGGGGCTGCAGCTCTCTGCTCGAGTCCAGACTCGGGGAACCACCTGTGAACATCGACTCGGAGCTCGCCAGCGGTTTGAGAAGTGATTTAACGGGTACAATGATCCGGTGACACAGGACAGAGTAAATCTCCGCTGAGAGCTGCTCTTACAAACTGTGTCAAAGTGCTGGACCGTCGCTGGAAGCTTTGCCATGTCGTTACTGTGTGTCAGAGGTGAGTCTCACTTCTAGTTTCATTTCTTTACTCGGTTAGAAACTATGTTACGAGTTAGTTTGACACGTTAAACCCGAGTTTGTTGACTTCAATCTGATAATGTCAATGAAATCCTACTGAACAGGTTCTCTGGCAGGAGGCATCCCCCCTCAGGGAGGAGAGAAGTGGCGACTACATTTGTCCTGTCGTGATTTAACCTATCACATCTTTATTTTTTTAAAAAAACCCATACTTTTCATAATTACAATGAAAACAATAATTATATTTGAGATGTTTTTAAAGCCAGAATAGTGTGTGTTATCTCTGTTTCCAGCTGTTGTAGCCCAACATAATCTGTGGTGTGTTGACTTTCAGATATGACCACAAAAAAAAAAATGACCACAAAAAAAAAAGAATAAATAAAAATAGATTAAAGTAAAATCAAATAAGTAAATAAAAATAAATAAATTTTAAAAAAGAAATAAAATAAAAGCCATGTAGCCATGGATATAATTTTTCGTTAATCCCACTTTAAAATAAATTATAAGTTGGAAAACAAACATTTATTTGAATTGGACTTAAACTTTAACCAAGTCACATCCTTTCCTTGTTTTTTGGTTTCATCATAAATGTTATAATTATTTTTTTTGTGTTGCATTTTATGCATGAATCGTGCTAAATACAAAATGTTTAATTATTATTATACAGTGATGTTAATGACACCAATGTTTCAAGGCTTTCTGATGGGTACTTCAGTTTCACTGACACTAATTTTACTGATGAATATGATAATAATAGTTTGACGTCTTTCCAGAAAACTGATACCACTTGACATTTTTTATTTTTCAGCAGTCCATATTAGTTGTTTATTCTATAAGTTATGTCCCACCCTGCCTAAAAATGTACAAAAAAATAACATTTTTTGGGGTCAAAATGATGGTAATAATATAAAAATTAACTTTTTGTGTATAGCACCTTTCCAAACAGGGGTGTCAAACATGCGGCCCGGGGGCCAGAACTGGCCCGCCAAAGGGTCCAATCTGGCCCCCTGGATGACCCTGCACACTAACATAATGTGTGGTGTATTCACTTTCAGATATGATCAAAAAATAAATAACTAAAGAAAGAAAGAAAGAAAGAAAGAAAGACAGAAAGAGATAAAAAAATAAACATAGTAGCTATAAGTATAATCTATTATTAATCGCACCTCAAAATAAATCATAAATTGGAAGACAAACATTTATTTGAATTGGACTTCAATTATGATTAAATCATCTTTCCTTGTTTTATAGTTTTATCGTAAATGTTATTATTATTTTCGTTGTGTTGCTTTTTTTGTGCTACATACATAATGTTTGATTATTATATTATAGTGGTACTAATGACACTAAGGGTTACTCTACCTCTGATGGGTACTTTAATTACTCTAAAGATTTTACTGATGAATATGATACTACCAGAAGCGGACTGATGTTTTTCCAGAAAACTGATTTTTTTATTATTATTAGTGGTCCATAGTAGGTGTTTATTCTATGTGTTATCTCCGCCCCAGCCCCAAAAATGTACAAAAAAAATACAATTTTTTAGGGTCAAAATGATAGTAATAATATTAAAATTGACTTTTGTGTGTAGCACCTTTAAAACAGGGGTGTCAAACATACGTCCTCTGGGCCAGAACCGCCCCACCAAAGGGTCCAGTATGACCCACTGGATGACCTTGCACACCTAATAGTGATGCGCTTGTGAAGGCTGAGAGGTGCCAGGTTTCAGGAGCAAGTTAAACATGTACAATGTTGCTTCAGAGGCTTTTCCACCCCGACCATAATACAGTTCTTTTCTTTCACTTGAATTGGTGTGTTGATGTCAGGATTACGACACAGGAGTGGAAATGTATGAAAAAATGCACATGTAATGACAGTGAGTAGTCGACTGACTGAATGTGGAAAAACTGAGACTTTCAATGTCGTCCTTTGAACAAAAAAAAAAAAGGTTCCACCTGCGATCAAATCAGACTGTATGTGGCCTGTGAACTAAAATTAATTTGACAAGTTTAAAGTCTTCTTGACATGGACACGTTTCCAGGCGGAAACAAGACTAAAGCAAATGAAGCTGGGGTGTGATAACACCAAAAAGAAGCTGGCCACTCCTGCTGCTTGCTGTAGCATCAGCAAAGCACATTATGCAATATGCTGTTCTGTGTCATCAAGACCAAAGCCCAGCAATTTGGTACAGTGCTGCCAGGATGAGAGGGAAGGACAGTAAATCATGGCATAAGCTCAAAACAGAGCTGCAGACTTATTTCGTTTAAAGCACATCTGTAATGATGATGCTCCCCCTCCTCAAAGAAAAATACATTTAATATGATTTTGTTCTTCATAAAGTTTATCAGAAAGTGTAATTTTTTTGTCATTAAATAAATGGCTTTAATTATAAGTAAACATTTTACTCATGTCTTTTCCTCTGCATGTGTCAAATAGACGGCATCTTTTAAAAAAATTATATGTGGAATATCATCGAGCATTTAGTTCAAAAAGTGTAGCCACAAGCTGGACTCAAGTCAGTATTATGTCAGGGATAAATAGTTCACTTTCACTCCCTATCCTGAACATTTCTGACGACCCCGTGCGTGGCAGACTGAGGCTTTGTATATAAATCCCCTGTCTGGTCCTGTTCTGTCTAATTATCCTCATTTGGGTGCAGACAGCTCCATATTGTGGCTATAAGTAGCTTCTATTATGCATCTTGTGCCTGGCGTGTATGAGTGAATCACTGACAGTATTGTGTCCCTCCTTCCCATCTTTTGATTCTGAATGTTGGACTCCAGGCCTCATACACACCTAATTCTCATCAAATATCCCTCAGATACCTCCACTCATGCATGTTTACACAATCAGCAAACACCTTCTGTCATGATCTTAAGTGTCTCTAATGCCTGTGCAAATGTTCCCCACGTCACTCTCAAGATATACAGACAAGCAGAGCAGGAAGTAGCATGAACTTATCAGTCAGTGGGTTTCTCACACACCAGCAGCTGATTGTCACTGATTGGGCTGTGTGTGTTTTAATTTTTCTACCTTTTCACAACTTTTCAACATGCTGCCGAAGTTGATGCGCCAAAAAACTGCAGTTCTGTTAGTGGCCACTTGAGGCTGGCTCCAAAAGCGAGGCAATCCCCATAGGCACCCGTGTGAAAATCTCCAACTTTGCCACAGAAATAAACATGTTTGCGGCCTCTCTTATGTCCCCCCTTCTGACAACTTTGTAAATAACTCAGCCATTTATAATTTATTAAGACCTGATGTGACACATTATTAAGGGTATGGTGACAGGTTGTCTGCGAGGTGTCGCCACATTCTATAGCCCCTTTCACACTGCATGTTCAGGGCGGGAATATTGCGTCAGTATGCCACCTTGCTGTTCTGTATAACGTATGATTGCTGAATGGGGAGAAAGAGTGGCCTTTATTCTGCCCTGGAGGTAGTAACAGCGCTGAAACGGTGTCTGTATAAACAGGACAGCTTGGCAAGACAGGGTGTGACATTTTGACGACGTGTTATGTGTGTAATCCACTGCAGGAGATTTAAAAAGTAGCTGTTAGCAGTTAGCGGCTATCTCAAAAAAGAAGAACAGCGGCTGCAAATTGGGAAAACAAGTTGATATAGGAGCTTCTTATCCTCTTAGCAGAGGACTAGATTAGCTGCCATATTAAATTATTGTTATTGCCACGTTATGCCATTGGTTTTGTTTATAAAGCGCTGCCGTCATGTGTGTTTCATCTCATACTAGAGGCTGGTGCTGTTGAGTTACACTTCTTTTGATTGCAGAATACCGGAACGCAGTGTATAATCACACTGGAGCGGTATGATGCCACTGTTGTTTGGTTCTGTGTGTACAAAGCAAAGGAGGTTATGCCTCCTCTGTAGTAGGGCTGCAACTAACGATTATTTTCATTGTCTAATTATTTATCAATATGGATAGTGTGTTCACATGAGTTGTGGTAAACTTCTCTCCCTCGTACCAGCGTCCAGATCTCCCAGCTCATCTCTCAGTTTTGAGTTGGCTCCAGGGCTGTTGCTTGAACTACAGATTGTACTTCCACATTTTCCTATTCCCCATCACCCATGCTGCCACCATAGACACAAAGAGAAGTGGATCAAGAGAGAAAGCCGCCGTTCTTTCTCTTAAATTCAGACTGAACATGGATCAAAAGGCAAAACTAGACAGTGCTGATTAAATACAAACCAAGATTATCTTGCCGTATGGGCTATATCCAACCTAAAATGTCTTCAGAAACATATTTTAGTGCCCTGTTTGGCTGTAATAAGAGAGTTGGCAAACAGGAAGTGGGCACCATACTGTTTCTTGCATAGTGATAGTGGAGACTTAAAAAAACTGAGATCCAACCTTAAAATGAAGGAGTGATGATCAGTTATGAACAAAGATCGCATAATGTCACCCATCAGCGGGAGCATTTATTGGTGCGGTGCTGTGCAGTGCATTCTGGTAGTTGTAGATTTTCTACCTCTTGAGCAAAAGCAAATGCCATAGCCATTTTTCTCTGTTTTCTCTGGTCATGTAGCACCAATTTGAATAAGTTTTTGCATGTCTCTTCTGCATAGACAGCCTAGTTTCATGTAAAGACCATCTTTCCAGTGGTGTAATATGAAGGATAGGCAATTTCAGATCATCCTGGTTTCACTATCTCATCACAAAAAGTAAAAGTGAGTATCAGTGGCATCTTTGAGCAGGAAACACAACAATGTTTTAATGTTTGGGGATCATAAAATCCAAAAGAAAATCACTTTTGACTTGTCTGCTCCTTTAAAAAAAGTAAAAAAATCAAAGTATTTGTCTTTAAAACCTGTAAACAAAGAGCCTCAGAAGGGATTCAGGCATCGATACACCAAGCTGAGCAAAAGAAAGCCTCCTGGCAGGGAAAAGGTCACCAAGAGGCGAGTCTGTTTGGCTTCACTTACTTTCTAAAGTTCAGCTGAATGGCTCTGGCAATCAAGAGTTATTGT